CTCTAAAGAGCATCTGAAGGGGAGATAAATGCGTCCTGTAAATCCTGACCGAGTTGTCTTTTACGATAGAGAATTAGAATCGCTGACAAGTAGGTCCTCTCGATCCATCTTTGTAGCATTGTCTGTCGTCATTCCGTCTCAATTTCCATCTTTGTCTCTTCAGGATCCTCTACGCAAATATTCTCAACATCCAATTCACGACCGCAGGAGCTTAAAGACCAACGTTTTGTCACCAAATGACGGGACGAATGCAAAATGAAACGGGAAACTTAAGCGAAGAACAGCAAGATAGAATTTTCCACTCGTCTACCCTTTCCATCTTGTCTTTTCTTCCAGTTTTGCCACCCCGGGAAACTCTTGTCCGTAGTCGCATCTTCAATCTTTCAAGGACTTTTATTTTTTCCCCCTACTAACATCCAGTTCGGCTTTCAAGATTGTTTTGTTGAGTGTTTTCTGAAACGATGGGTAAGTGGATTTGAAATATTCAGAACTCCATACCATGAACAATTGATTTAGAGAAGGACTGAAAGTGTGTTCTGTTGTCATTGAGCTTTCTGAGAATATCCATCACCGTCTATTTCAGTTGATCCAGTTTCTTCCGGGTTTTCCCGAACAACTACGGTCGTTTCCAGACATTAACAAAAGAAGTACCGGACGGACGGCGGATGAATTTGTATACGAGAGACGCACACATATAAAGAAACAAAGTGATAATATATTTGCCTAATGCTCTTTGTAAAAACGTTTAGACTTTATTTGTTTGAAATATTTATACAGATCCGGGATTTTATTACTCTTTCCCTTACGAATGACCGGTAAGATGAGACACAAAACGCATTAAATGGAGATAATTCGAGAATCCTTAAAGGAAGTAGAAGAAAGTTAACGATCCAAATGTTTTCTTTCATATATACTTATATGTTTTTATTTTTATTTTTACAACCGACTCTAGGTACGTTACAGACCTCCAAAATAAGACGAACTACCAGGGACCTAAGAAATGGTTTTTCTTTTCAGAAACTGCTCTTATAGAGACAAGAGTTCAAACCAGATATATTGCTAGGGATAAACAAGTTGTTCTTGACAACCGAAATTTGCTGCGTTCGAGGTCACCTTAAGCGGTCTGAACTGTATTTGAGGAGACGCGGTGGTGTAGCAGCTAGAAACTCGCCTGCCAAATCGAATGTCTTGGGTACGATTCCACATCGAGTCGTATTTTATCCCCTTCAAAACAAAACAAAAAAAGCCATTGAACTTGGCTCCTAGGTCGACCCAGCTTAAAATGAGTAAAAGGTAACATTATTGGAAGTAAAAGCAGCAAGCTAGAATTTGACCACATCGCCCATCGAGTGTCAGTTGATCTAAAGAACTATGAAAGATATCAAAACAACGCGAAAAGTAGAATCAGTCAGCTTCACAAGATCACCAACACAAAAAGACAAGTGAACGTTGCGGCTACAGAACCTTCATCAGCACATTACATAAATCTAGAGAACCACAAACAAGATTACACAAAATTACTTAAGTGACGTATCTGAAATAGAAACATCATTAATGCCTGGGCAGTAGAATATCTGACACGTGTGTGGCCACAAGAAAGATAAATTGGCTAGGAAAAGCCACGAGAGACAGGCGTCGTAACTCAAAGATATTAGATAAAACTGTGCTGGGTGTTAAGTTCCCTATGTAAATTAGCGCCTATACGACGGATAAATGCGTAACTTTGAGTCTCTAGCATCGAATACTTGATGCACCCTTTGGGGTTTGACAGGTTATTCACTTTACTTTTACTAGGTAGTTGATAGGGTCAATATCGCGTGTCATTTCTTGATCGTCTCAGAGATCAGGTCAATTTTAAAACCTGACCTCAGTTAAGATTTGAACCAGTCACTACTGAATTGATAAACATTAGCGTTAGCTACTATGCTAATGCAACTCTCACTGTCCTTGAACCTAAGTATACATTTGTAGGCTTATCCGTATGGAAGGGGTTTAGCAACCGTCTGTCTGTCTGTCTGTCTGTCTGTCTGTCTGTCTGTCTGTCTGTCTGTCTGTCTGTCTGTCTGTCTGTCTGTCTGTCTGTCTGTCTGTCTGTCTGTCTGTCTGTCTGTCTGTCTGTCTGTCTGTCTGTCTGTCTGTCTGTCTGTCTGTCTGTCTGTCTGTCTGTCTGTCTGTCTGCCTGCCTGCCTGCCTGCCTGCCTGCCTGCCTGCCTGCCTGCCTGCCTGCCTGCCTGCCTGCCTGCCTGGCTGGCTGGCTGGCTGTCTGTCTGTCTGTCTGTCTGTCTGTCTGTCTGTCTGTCTGTCTGTCTGTCTGTCTGTCTGTCTGTCTGTCTGTCTGTCTGTCTGTCTGTCTGTCTGTCTGTCTGTCTGTCTGTCTGTCTGTCTGTCTGTCTGTCTGTCTGTCTGTCTGTCTGTCTGTCTCTTATCTATGCGTCTCTGTCTGTCTGTCTGGATCTCTATCTCTGTCTATCTGTCCGTCCGTCCATTCGCCTTACTGACA